CAGTGAGATTCAAGACTGGATTCAGTTATCTGTTACAAACTTGGATTCATAGCCAGACATTCCAATGCTAAAATGTTTCCATGACTATTGGCCCAGCACAGTAGAAATGTATGAAAGTATTTCTAAAACATCTGGTGTTTTACGGTCAATAGGCTTTTAACCTACAATGAAAATACATTGCATATGCGAATATTGGAATTAGAAAAATGCAGGTAAATGCAATGAAAGAAACTAGAGAATATACATTGTAATTTCATCAATGCACAATGGCCATGTCAATATAGGACATAATAGACACTCATATTCTTAGAACATGGACAGATAGAACATTTTGTACTCCAGACAGCCAAATATGAAGCTAGGTTTGCTGACCTTATTATCATCAGCAAGGAGATTCAAGAATGGTATGTTGCATTATCAATAAAGTGTCTTATTGTGTATGGAGTACTGGCTGTTCTCAGAACAGATGTACATTTCAAAGTGATACAAACTTGGAAAGTGAACAAAGAGAGGGTGCACCCATCTAAATGTAAGCGGTAAAAAAAAAGTAATGCACTCACTGTATAGGATGTTGAGTTGGCATGTCAAATGGTGTAGAAGATCTCCAAATTGCTGGTTTTACCTTGCAAACTTCGGCAGGCAAGCGGCTAGACTGTGTGCAGAGACTGGCAGGCAAGTGACTAGACTGTGTGCAGAGACTGGCAGGCAAGCGGCTAGACTGTGTGCAGAGACTGGCAGGCAAGCGGATAGACTGTGTGCAGAGACTGGCAGGCAAGCGGATAGACTGTGTGCAGAGACTGGCAGGCAAGCGGATAGACTGTGTGCAGAGACTGGCAGGCAAGCGGATAGACTGTGTGCAGAGACTGGCAGGCAAGCGGATAGACTGTGTGCAGAGACTGGCAGGCAAGCGGATAGACTGTGTGCAGAGACTGGCAGGCAAGCGGATAGACTGTGTGCAGAGACTGGCAGGCAAGCGGCTAGACTGTGTGCAGAGACTGGCAGGCAAGCGGATAGACTGTGTGCAGAGACTGGCAGGCAAGCGGATAGACTGTGTGCAGAGACTGGCAGGCAAGCGGATAGACTGTGTGCAGAGACTGGCAGGCAAGCGGATAGACTGTGTGCAGAGACTGGCAGGCAAGCGGCTAGACTGTGTGCAGAGACTGGCAGGCAAGCGGATAGACTGTGTGCAGAGACTGGCAGGCAAGCGGCTAGACTGTGTGCAGAGACTGGCAGGCAAGCGGATAGACTGTGTGCAGAGACTGGCAGGCAAGCGGATAGATTGTGTGCAGAGACTGGCAGGCAAGCGGCTAGATTGTGTGCAGAGACTGGCAGGCAAGCGGCTAGATTGTGTGCAGAGATTGGCAGGCAAGCGGATAGACTGTGTGCAGAGATTGGCAGGCAAGTGGCTGGAAACTGCAGAGATCGTCAGGGAAGCAGCGGGAGAGAAATGTCAGAACTGTCAGGCTGCAGTGTGGAGAGTCATATAGTGAAAAAAAGTATTTTATCTCAGTCCTTATTGCATCAACAAATACAAAAAACAAATCTACTCTAGCAATCTATTCTCTACTATAACTGAGAATCTTCACCTGAACTGAGAGGCTGGCCTGCTGCATTCTGAACACAGGAAACGGGATGCTCATCATAGGCGCCATTCAGAGAATGCTCAGCTGAATGAATACAAAGCATTTTCTGATTGTACGAGATGGAGATCTTGACATCATCCCACCTCTCCACCTCACCCAATCAGGGACTGCTTTGCATTCATTCATAAAAGTCTAAGCATTGGTGTCCATGCCATTCACAAAGCAGCAGGGCAGATCAGCAAAGGACCGATAAGCAACTGGAGATCCCTGGAGTAGCGGTATTGACATCAGTGATTTCCAGCTTCCAGGAGCAGCAGCCGGGTGTGATATATACAAAGTTACATTGATGCAAGCTGGACCTATGTACTATAACTATGTATAAAATATCCATACCTAGGATTCCTCTTCCAGGACCTTTAAAGCAGGACACACAATTCAATTTTCTTTCCTTCAACCACAGGTTGAAAGAAAGGAAACTGCCCAAATAAATGTGTTGATGGGGGAATCCCTCCCACAACACTACTGTATTGTCAGCTGTCAGAATACAATGGTCACTGCCAGTAGCTATAGCCGCCATCAGTGATCAAATGAGCAAAAAAAAAAAACCCAGCACGCTGGTTGTACTGAAGTTGATTGATGGATTGACTTCAGAACAACCAGACTGCACCTAGATGGATCGAATCTCAGCCTGGTCCCGGCTGAACCTGCTAAATTTCGATCTGTTTATGGACGGCCTAAAGCAGGCTATAGATGATTTGACCTTCTTTCCTTCCACCATGATTGAAAGGAAAGAAAATTTCTCAGTTTCCCCATCAAGCACAGTCAATGTTATTGCTATTGTGTTGGAGGAGGGGGGGGATTGCGGGGAGTCTTCCTGACCAGCAGAACACAATGATTACTGCTAGTGGATATAGCCGCCAACAGTAACCACATGTAAGAAATTGGACAGGCTGGTGGTACCCAAGTCGATTGTTGGATCAACTTGGGTAGAATCAACCATAGATGGATAAAAATTCAGCCGGTTCAGTAGGAGATTCAATCTAATTATGGCTGGCATACGTCTTTGAGTTAGCCAGTTTACCCAGAGCAATGCATTACCTTTGTGGCTGATATTTTATCTCAACAGCTACAAAGAGAGTGGCAGAGTAAATGCAGTGAACACTGAAAGCCCCCTCTGGTGCTTAATGAACACATCTCTAGATTTAATATAGAATATGTAATATCCATGTAACAAATATGAATATGTCACATGAAACAAATGCTTTAAAGTGAACCTATGCTATGCCAAGCAATGGATTCACGTTTAACTCCCCCTCCAGCAGCAAAGAGTGATTTATCCTTTTCCACCCCCGCCACTCACTTTAGCTTCCAGAATAGAACTTATACAGGGCTGTGGACTCCTTGTGATTGGCCCAGAGCTATCACATGGCTGAGTCACATGCAATACACTATGCCTTTGATGGAATTGCCCCCAACAGAGTAACACTGGTGGTATATTTATAATGTAAGGAAAAATGTGACCTTTTCAAAGAAAAACGTGACCTTTTAATTATGAAGAGCTTCCTGAAAATGTCTTTATTACTATTTCTTGTATAGAAAATCATGTTAAAGTGTTCTCTTTAGCCCAGGTTTGTGCTCATTATGTAATGTTCCCTTTTCTTTGAACTGGTGTAAATGAAGGCATTCTATGGATGAAGGGAGGATTAAATGTCCCGCAGCAGTAACGTCACAATGATGCACATTAATTGGACAGGTTGAGGATGATCGAGCATCAATGTGCTGTAATTATCATCCCTTCTCTAATGAGACGATCTGCTGTCTGTGGTAGAGCTGATAGGACAAGGTCCATTTCACACACTGCAGACAGGCAGAGAACTATGGGAAAACCTCTGTTCTGCCTCATCTGTCACTGGTGAGGTTTGGTCACATGGTCATGGAAGGTGCTTTTATTATACTACTCATTTTCCTTCTCTTCACCTCATAGAACAAACATGCTGAATTTTAGATTGGAATTAATTCTTTATAAGTAGAGACTCACGTCTCTCAGTCCATGAATAATTCACTCCTCTTAGGAAGTCTTAAGAGCATCTTATTAATTGCACAAGTTATGTCTGGAGATGAGGAACTCATTTTATCTGGGAACAGATAGAGTTCCATTTATCGATCAATCTGCCTTTTGTGAAGTTAAAGTTGTCCATGGTGCGGATTTTGCTTCTTGTGTTGGTGTGACCATCGATGGCACTAAAATGAACTCGGTTACCACTACCCATTGGCTATAAATGACTTATTTGCTTTCTGGGGTGCTAAAAATACTGATTTTCTACAGCTCCCCTGATCATGGTGCTGAAAGTATTTTGTAATTCTGTCCATAGACTAACTCTCTCTGCCCTGGTACTGCTGTCTATAGATGAACACTCTCTGCCCTGGTACTGCTGTCTATAGATGAACACTCTCTGCCCTGGTACTGCTGTCCATAGACTAACACTCTCTGCCCTGGTACTGCTGTCCATAGGCTAACACTCTCTGCCCTGGTACTGCTGTCTATAGATGAACACTCTCTGCCCTGGTACTGCTGTCCATAGACTAACACTCTCTGCCCTGGTACTGCTGTCCATAGGCTAACACTCTCTGCCCTGGTACTGCTGTCCAGAGACGAACACTCTCTGCCCTGGTACTGCTGTCCATAGACAAACACTCTCTGCCCTGGTACTGCTGTCTATAGACAAACACTCTCTGCTGTGGTACTGCTGTCCATAGACGAACACTCTCTGCCCTGGTACTGCTGTCCATAGACAAACACTCTCTGCTGTGGTACTGCTGTCCATAGACGAACACTCTCTGCCCTGGTACTGCTGTCCATAGACTAACACTCTCTGCCCTGGCACTGTCATTCCTGATCCAGCACTCTCTGCCCTAGTACTGCTGTCCATCAGCTAACACTATCTATTCTGTTATTGCTGTTCATGGGTAAAAAAAAAAAAACCCCCACAGGCTTGCTAACAATTATTGGGCAATTTGTAGGCATGTTTGGCATCCAGATGGAATCCCAAGGTGCCACGGCACCCTGGTTGAAAATGGCAGATCTAGAGTTCTCTCTATTTCCACTGTCCATGGTGCCGAATCTGACTTTCCTATTGCTGCTGTCCATGGTGCTGATATAAGTAACTAGTTATTTGTACACCAGCACAGGGTAGTACTCGGGGTGTACAAAAATATACTGTGCCATATCCTAACTTATATGGATATAGACAACAACTGAGGAAACATGAACTTTATAGGCACCCAATAAACTAAAGTATACATTTTTTTTTACAGAAAAGATAGTGATTTAGAATCTAGTAGATTGTAAACTCTTATGAGTAGGGCCCTCTTAAAGTGTTACTAAACCCAGGACCCTGCATCCACTATATCCGCTCTCCCCGGACCCCGCATTCACTATATCTGGTCTCCCCGGACCCTGCATCCACTATATCTGGTCTCCCCAGACCCTGCATCCACTATATCTGGTCTCCCCAGACCCTGCATTCACTATATTTGGTCTTCCCGGATCCTGCATTCACTATATCTGGTCTCCACGGACCCTGCATTCACTATATCTGGTCTCCCCCCCGACCCTGCATTCACTATATCTGGTCTCCCAAGACCCTGCATTCACTATATCTGGTCTCCCAAGACCCTGCATTCACTATATCTACTCTCCCTGGACCATGCATTCACTATATCCGGTCTCCCCGGACCCTGCATTCACTATATCCGGTCTCCCTGGACCCTGCATTCACTATATC